ATAGAATTTTTGCATCTTAAATGATGCCAGAAACGCTAGCTTCCCCCTCAACAGATCCTGGATCCGCTACACTGCCACTCAGAGCCAAAAGCAGCTGTTCCAAACAAGCGGACATCATGCACAATGTGAAGCAAAATTGTGTGTGTGTGTGGGGGGGGGGGGGGGGGGGGGCTGACACATGCTTGACAACCAACACGGAAATGCCTTGTGTAAGCAGTTGACAGAATTGAGGCTGTATCCCAGCCAACCTCTCTTCCTCCTTTGATAAAAACTAACTAATGTCAGCAACTGATGTGGTGTTTCCAGTTGAGGAGCTCAGAGCTGGAGATGTTTTGTGTGTGTGTGTGTGTGTGAGAGAGAGAGAGAGAGGTTTGCAATGCATAGCAGAAGCACTTAAAAGGGAGGCTTAATAAAAGGTAGAGAGAAGGTGCATTTTAAAATTTCCTGTGCATTTCTAGAAATCTTCTATGAAATAAAATGCTAGAGTTGTTTTGTTTGACAACTACAGGGAGTGGAGTTTGCTGAAGAGTGTATGAAAACTTGAGCCTGGTGAAAAGTATTCTGCTCATGAACGCTGGGCCTTCTGTGTCTGTCTGGCCCCTATACTAACCTGTCATTTCAGTTCTGCCTCACCCATTCAACCCCCCCTCACAACAAACACCCATCTGTTTCCAAAATCCTCAGATCACACCTGCAAACTATTTCAGCGCATGAAAAAAGGCTCACATCTTCCTCTGTTGTGGATGAAACGAACATGCTACCTTTATATAAAGCTTCACGCCTCAGCCACATGCACACGCTGTATTTCCAAAACAATTTTTTCCTTGTCAACACAATAATAACGAAGTTCTGCACTGCTCTACTCAAGGCAATGTTAATGTTCATTAGCCTTTGGTCATTGCTGTAATAGGTGAAGATTTTGCTGTAACTGAGCAAACACAACAATACAAATATGCAGCACAAATTCAACTACCGTAATTTCTGGACTATTGAGCGCACCTGAATATAAGCCGTGCCCACTAAATTTAAAATAAATAAATGATTTTGTACATACATAGGCCACCCTTGTCTATAAGCCGTGAGTGTCCATGTTGTAACTTGAGCTATTTATGCAGGCTAAATGTTTTGACGACAAGAAGCTCGTTAGCCTGTCAAAAAAGAAAAAAAAATCCATAAATTAGCTGCAGCATGGTATAAGCCGCGGTGTTCAAAGTGTGTGAAAAAAGTAGCGGCTTATAATCCGGAAATTACGGTAAGTATTCTTTCATTACTGGAGTCATGGGTTAGGCAGGGGGTGGGACAGGGATGTCATCTTTTGCTAAATGTTGCATTTAGACTTTCCACGCAAAATTACAACAGTGACATTAAAGTACTTTCTAACTCGAAATACTATTTAGAGGCTCCTAAAACACAATTTCCATGTAGAAGCAAGGTTGAAACAATAACAAATAGGGATGCACGATATTGGACTTTTGGCCGATATCCGATATGCCGATATGTTAAAACTTATTTGGCCGATAACTGATACCGATATTTTTTATATACTTTCCTTTGTCAGAACATAGTTCTCTTATTTAGGCTTATTTGCTACAACAATTATATAACAGCTGTAAGAGCTGGTGACATATATTCAGTAACAGCCATATGATATGCATAGCACTTTATCTTATATTAAATGAAAAGTTTTAAATGTTATTTATCAGCATTAGTCACCTGCGATGCTGTCTCACTTGTGGAGGCTTGTTCCAGGTTCCTAGCTGCAGTCTGGGATACTCTGCACTCTTGTGCATGAAGGACAGCCTTTTTAAATTCAAAGTTTTTGTCTATCCATTGTGCTGTAACACTAATCATGCTAACGGGGCTAAGACGACGTCCAAATGTCTGTGGTAAAACTCACCCAAGTGCTATCGGCTATTAGCTTCTCAATGATGTCGGAAATGACGGCTTGTAACTCGGGTAAGGCTACGTTGGAAAAATATCTCAGACTGGAGATATACCGATACCGTTACCATGCTGATAATATTGTGCATCCCTAATAACAAATTTAAAAAATTGCACATTCACACACCACTGCTCTGTGTGGATGGGGCCTCACACCTCTTATACTTTAACAAAACCATAAAGATGCCCCGAAAATGATCAGCTGTGTTCATTAAAGGAAAAAGTTTTAATGTAAATGTGATGCCTGTAAAAGGCAAGTAGTTCCTGTTTATGACAAATTCAGATCAAACATTGTTAAAAGGTTGTAATGAAGTCTGCAAGGACACTTTCTTCCTGCCTGCTGAGCATTATTTCATTCTTGCTCGGTCTTCTATTAATTGTTAAGCTATTCTTGCCCGTTTCTGTCGATTTCCTCAGCGAAGAGCCAAATGCACCACCCCTGTTGTCATAACAGTCAAGAAGACAGACCCTTCATTGGGTCCCGTGGGTCTGCCTCAGGGTGCGGTCCTGCCACGGCCCACGAAGGCCCCCAGAGTTTTTCCTGCAATTCTAATCAAAGTTGAAAAGGCTGCAACCTTGGAGCGTATATGCTTGGGCCACAGTCGGCGAGGAAGATATCAATCAAGCTGCTCCAAACAAGCACGAAGGGAAGAGGGTGGGAGAGTTGAGAACAGTCTCTGAGAAAGTTACTCTCGTTCTCTTTTGTCTGTCTGCGTTTCAGACAAGTAAATTCTTCTAAATGAGAGCAGGGTGCACTCTCTATTCTGTGAAATCACAATGCAACTCAAAGTTGCATTAACACATAATGGCTGTGTGGACGGATAAATCATTAATCTGCCTGTGATGTTGCACAGCCTGTCACCAACACCATCAGCAGCAGCGGCTTCTGAGTCATACTCTGCTCGGTTTTATTCTTTTATTTTTATTTTTTCCAGGTGGGAATGAATGAATCCGCTCTGTAATAGTACATTTGGACCTGTGAGAGGCAGATCTGCAAATGTTGTCCTTATGCCCGGTGCCCAGTCCTGCAGCTGTCTAATCCTCGTGCAGACTCACAGACAGATAGAGACATATGCCTATGCATGCATGAGCACACAGCAACACTCATATCTAGGCAGGCAAAGAGGGCAGGTGGACAAGAAGACAGGGTTTGTCTGAATATTAGCTTTTCCACAGCTGGGGGCTGCTGGACCTGCTCCATTCATCAGACATCCATCAAGGTGTCAGTTTGGGTTATGAGACCGGACTCCCAGGGTGATCACACCACTACACTTTCTGCCAGCAGGTCTGCCTGATGGCCCTCTGTCTGAGCCAAGAATGGCCAAAGACAAACACGTACAAAAAAAAAAATAATAATAATAATAATAATTGTCAAGCCAGTGGGAAAGGAACACAAACTGACACAAGCATATCTGTAATAACCTCTCCTTTAACAATTGTAAATAAATGACTATATGTGACATCAAGTTCCTGGAAAACCAAAAATAAACGTTCATCAGGAATCTCAAGTTTAAACAATCAAAGGAAGTACTTAATCATATAGATTTGAATTATTAGTAGCCCATAGCTAAAGGTGAATAATTAGCATAATGACCTGTCTCATTCTGTGTGAATCCCCCCCCCCCCCCCAAACCTATTTTCCACCGGAGACTTTGGTCATTTCCACGGCTGCTCTACATAACAGCCCTCTCTAATGCTGAGGAGGACAGGCAAGGTAATTAATTCCCCCTGCTGCCTCCTTCTTTTCCCTTCTCCTCCTCTCCGTGGTGAAGGGAAAAGTCAGGGAATGTAATTTACACTAATTACTTTTTGCATAGGAGTCTCATTTCAACTTTCCTTTTCATGTTGAAGGACTGCCTCTAAGCTTCAACACCCCTAATGGAAAATCACTACAATATTACTAAAGGGACATAACACCACTAAAGAAAGCGCACAACCTTATTCCCCTATTTTATTACAGCACCCCTTCATATAACCTAAAAATAAAGACGAGGATTTTGTTTGTTTTAGAACTCCAGTACTTCAGCTGTTCTCTAACAGATCAGGGGGGGGGGGGGTTCTCTTTAATGCCAGCAGAGGGACTATAGAGTAAACACAAATTAAACATGAGGTTGCTCCAAAATAAATATGGGAAACATCAAGGCTCATCATTTGCATGTGCTACTATTCGGTTCTGATCAGCAACTCTTTTTTTTCTTCTTATATGCTCATTTCTATTAAAGGAGTTCTGACTCTCATCTGAATATGATCAAATCAGTATGTGCTAAGTATATTTTTGTGCTGTCGTCTCTGATTTGTTGTGATGGTTAATACTTTGGGGCTTTTTATTTGCTGGCTCAGATGTGAGTCATGCACGATCGGTCTTGTTTACCTCTCATCAACCACCTTGCAAAGGCATTACATGCAGCAAACGTGCACGATGTGTGATTTCTTCTGTTAGGATGCAAGGGAAGGTCTAGCAGCGCATCATGTAGCGAGCACGCCGAGTCGCAGTCTCTCCAGTGGATCAGTTGGAGCCACAACGCTGCTGCAGCGACAGCGAATATTATGCTCCATTTATGATCTCAGATTGGAAGTAAGAAGCACATATATGCACGGATCAATGCAGCAGAGCGTTAAAACATATATGCAAAAAAAAAAAGAAGTGTTGCAGGTTTTCAACCATTTGAGATTTACAGTAAATCAATCCAGGCGAGACTGATCGGTCCCCGACCCTCTTTTCTCTTCATATTTCCACCAGGAGGAAACAAAATAAAGAAATAAAACGAAAGCAACACATCCAAATCATGATGTATTAGGAGTGCTTGGGTATTTTCAACGTTTTCGATCTCATTCATGGGGAGGTGTTTGCTGCTGTATCAGCGCTGTTTGACAAGACACACACGGGGATTGTTGAGCTCTGGAAGCAAAAACTGTTCCCGACCTATCTGAGGCAGGTTTTACAGTGATTTCTTACATTTCACCATTTCATTTGAACAGAGACGAGATGGTAAAGCTGCAGTCACATTGTGCACAACAACACATTTAATAATAAATGCACGAATAAATAAGCTGCTTACCTTCGTATACAGGGGCCATCGGTGCAAGGGTTTCTGTTATTCATGGCAAACAAATAAAGCGAGCTTTGTGTTTAAAACTCAGTAAAACCCTGCCATCTTGAAACACTGGTGATGATGATGAGAGGGTCGCCGCGGTCTCCTGCATTACTGGCCCCGTTCATTAGTGGACAAAACGCTCCTGATGCATCTCCAGGCGGGCTTCAAACCTCCGGGATCCGACGGTGAGGAGGAGGAAGGAGGAGGAGGAGGAGGGCGGCAGAAGAAGAGGAGCTTCCTTAAAATCCCCACCGGCGGCGTGTGTCTGTGAGGCTCGGAGGATGAGCCACGGTGACAGGCTTACTTCAGCTATTGTGCGACATGTCTGTGGAGTGAGGAGTCTCTGCAAAAGTTGCAGCGCAGGCGGCTGCGGCTCCGAGCGCAGCGAGTTTGCTGCTCAGGGCGCAGAGTGGAGCGACGAGCGAGTCGATGGGGGGCGGAGATGGGGGCTCGGTTCTGCTCCTCCCACCCCCTCCCCAGCTCTAAATGGGACACCAACTTAAAGGTGGGAGGTGATTGCCAAACATGAAGCACAAGTCATGGCATCAGCACTTAGCTTCTTACGCAAATGTTTTAAGCGCGAACGTTTTCGTTGCCTTTTATTTCTCTGCTCATCAGACCTGAGCAGAAGGGACACTGTGTTGCTTCTGTTGTTGGATAAGTATGGTGGGGCCAGCTGTGTGGAGACAGTGACATTGACAAAAAGACATGGATAAAGAACTGGAAGTGGCAGAATTGAAGATGCTGAGGTTCTCCTAGGAGTGACAAGGATGGATAAGATTAGGAATGAGATCATCAGAGGTACAGCACAGGTTGAACAACTGGGAGATAAAGTTAGAGACCAGACTGAGATGGTTTGGACATGTCTAGACAGAGGAGGGACCGTGTGTGTATTGATGTAGAAAGATGTTAGAAATGCAGCTGCCAGGAAAAAGACAAAGAGGATGCAGTTAGAGAGGACGTGAAGTGAGGACAGAGGATGCAGTTAGAGAGGACGTGAAGTGAGGACAGAGGATGCAGTTAGAGAGGACATGAAGTGAGGACAGAGGATGCAGAGGACATAGTGCGATGGAGGAGGATGACTCACTGTGGCAACTCCTGAAGAAGGAAAAGCCAAAAGAAGAAGAAGTAATTATTGTACTATTTTTCTGACCTCAGTGAAGTACTGGTATATGCACTGAAGTTAAAAGATCTATGGGCCTGTTCCTAGAAATAAACAGTCAAGAATGAGTTGAAGACCTGATTGTTATGTCAGTCGACTAATTGTTGAATAACTGAATAAGAATATTTAATAAGACATATTCAACGTGAGAGTACAAGCTCATATTTCGAGTTTATTTAAAACTACTTGTCAGTGTTTGGACAGTTGTATTTAATGTTTGTGTGGGACAGGACTGTCAGGTCTGTTGGAAAGGCTTGTGTTATGGATGAGTTTTGGTTTTACTTATATTCTAATTGAGTTAAAGTGGGAATCTTTTTCATTTTTTTCCCAATCACCACTTGCAACAGTTTTTATTTATTAATTTTTCTATTTAATCTTTTCATTCAATCAATTTGAGAAATTGGGTCATAGTTTCTTATGAAGTGGTGATGGTGGATCCTGAGGACAGACCAGTTGAGAACCACTGATCTGAGGGCATAGTTGATGATTGTTGTTTCAGTGTTGTACTTATGAAACACGACTTAGCTTTCTTATTTTCACTAGGAAATAAAACTCTTTTATTGTGTATAGTTGTATGAAAGTGTGTTCCTACATGGACAACCGGTTCTATTTTATTATGGTTACAGGCAACAAAACTGTTGTAGTTACAGTATTGTGGTCTGTTAATTCATATGAAAGATCAAATTGAGTTTTATGAGGAAAAATGCATTTCAATATGACATTGCTTTTTGTTTCCAACAACATGCAATAAATAAATAAATAAATAAATGAATAAAGGGAGAAAAACTCTTGACAGACTAAATATTGTCAATATCATTGTCAATTATCTATATTTATAAATATTTTAACATTGATGGAGATTCTGTTTCGTTGTGATTTATGTCCCTGTTGTCTCTGATTGCGCTGAGGCATTTCCTTGCGCGCGCACACACACAGACGCGCAGTGCATCTGGGTAGATTTTTCTGTGTGTGCTTGGTCGAGTCTGTCTGAGGGGCCGGAGCGCTCGGCTGGATGACGACATGAGATTTGCACAGAATGAACTGGAATCGGATTACACGGACTCACACAAATGTGAGTAATCTGTCATTTACTGGCCATCCTGCTGCACTCGCAGCAATCCGCGAGCTCTAAATGAAACATGTCCAGCACACAGGAGTGCTCTCTGCAGCCCCACACAAGTACATACAGGCCTATCAGTCCCTGATAAGTAGAACTATGAAAATAAAATGCCAAATAAGTTTGCATCTACGACTGAAGGGAATAAACTGAGCCAAATGAAAGAGCAGTGATGAGCTGCCAAAGCTGTGCAGAAATTGATGCAACTCCTCAGCCATCAGAAGAGTGTCACACATAAAGAGATGAAGGATCATGATGCATGCTCAATAATCCAGGTAGAAAAACCTGACAAGGTTAAATCAGGTCTGGACTGCACGTGGAAGTGATGTTAAAACTCTTGCGTCCAGCCTAGATTTGCTGTAGGCACTAAAACATGAAGAAGTGCAACTCTCCCATCTGCAGTGCATTGTTTATTCATGCCAGTTCAACACAAAAACACTTAAAGGTTCCTGAAGGGACCAAACTCCTCAGTCCTGAGAGTGGTATGCAGATATGAGGATATTCAAACAATATTTTAGCCTATAAAATATTTAGAACACGCTGACTGCAGGCTCTGAGCTATATCTGTGCCATGAGTTTAGGAAATCATTTACGCCAAAGCTATCTTCAATTGTGGTGCTCTGTTTAGATTCATTTGAATGTTTCAGAAGATTCTCGTTCCTGACATGCTGATAAAACAGTTTCCTCAGTTCCATTGGTCTCTTTGTGTTACAGCCATGTTGTTTTATTTGTTTAATTTACTATAAAGCACTTTGTGTTGCTCCCCGATGTATGAAAAGTGCATTTAATTTTTTTTGATAGACAGATAGATTGATTATTGGTCTTTTACTTGTTTTCCATATCTCATTACAATATATATATATATATGAGTCATGTACAGTACATCCAAAGGAACTTTTTATCCCGTAACATCCCAATTACGTGAGTAATAATAAAGTTGTCATGTGTCATGTACAATCTTATGTTGAAAAACCATGAAAGAGCGAGTCCATGAAAGTTGAACTGCAAAGTAGCGAGGGACTACTGTACCTGTTTAGCGAATTAGCTTCAGTGAAGCTATTTTTTTTTTTAGTTAGAGGATTATGGGTTAGCAAAGTTAACTTTTTAATTAGCTGTGCCCACTGTTGGATTCAGGCACAGATTTATCAGAAGATGAAAATCGAATGAGTCAGACAAAAGAGGGTCAGAGCATAGATTAGGAATTAGACATGGATGACCAAGATGCAGAGCCAAAGTGTGCTGTCCTATTTGGGCCAAAACCAACATGTAGAGATCTGACATTTTTGATACAGAGTAAAAAGTAAGTTTGTTCCAGTGATATGGTTTAACAATGTGGTGTAAAGTGTGTGTCCCTTTTGACCCACTTCCAAATATGAACCCATTTCAAACATCCATTGTGCAAAACTAGTGCATACTAAGATGAAGCAGATGAAACACTGCAAGATGCTTTTGCAACAGTTAGGAATCAACTTAATTCAGTTCAACTTTTCACTTCTAATTATATATACTGTATATATTTTTGACAACTACTTGAAAATGTTTGCAATGATTGATGTTGCCCTGAAAAGGAAGAAGCGGGTAAAGATAATGGATGGATGGATGGTTTTCTCCAAACCATTACTCAACTTGTGTTTAAAAAAATATTTTATTGACAAGTTGTGCAAAAGGTAATCTAACATAATCAATGCAATTACAATCATAGTTACAAAAAAAAAAACCCAATCCAAAATGTTTTTTTTTTCCTGCGTTAATGCCAAGAAGTTTTGTCCAAGCACAGTCGGGGATTGGAGTCATGAAATTTACTTGATTGTTGCATTTCTCTGCCCCTAGTTTCATCATGTAAGACACTTTTTAAGTAAGATTAAAAGCCCCTCAGTTGACAGCTCACAGATTGATGCAGAGAGTGTTGCGCAACTTGACTCACTAAGAAAATAATCAGACTAACTGTTTGGAATCATGGAGGCATAACATCAGAGCTAGTCAAGAATAATCTGATCATCTTTTCTAACTAAAAATAAGCGAACAATTTGGTTTTTATTTACTAAGATTGAAAAGTTTTTAGTTACAAGACGAGTAATGTTGACAACTTTTACATTTGGCTCCCTAAAATTGCATTTAAGCAAAGCATAGAGGGTGAGTTATCTTTTTATTATTATTATTACAAGTGTTTTACAACTGAACACAAATTGAATGAAACCCATCTTGCTATGTCTATTTTATACTGGAACAGAAACTAATTATATTGTCCTTCTTTCCAAAGCCTATCACCCCCTCCTGCCATCAGCTCTTCTTCTGCATGCCCCCCCCACACACACACACACACATACACACACACTTCACCATGTCATATTATTTCAATGATATAGTGCAGCCAGAATTAAAATCGCTGTAATTATATAGACTCAATGTGTGTTTTGTCCCAAATACTGAGGTATTCTGAGTAATGAGTGTTTCTGTTTAGGCAGAGCGCTCACACATTCTTACACGTGTGTGTGTGTGTGTGTGTGTGTGTGTGTGTGTGTGTTGAGTTCAGCAGATGTTAAACGTAAAGGATGTGTAAACTTGCACAAAAAATGACTTTTTTGGGCAGTAATACAAGTAAATCAATAAATAATGTCAGAATAATAGAAATAGGTCAATATTTTACAAACTTTAAAACATTTCTTGAGCTTACTTAGGAAAAGTTGTGTTAAAATGAATGTTTGTCATGTTGCAGTGTTTTATTGTGCACATCTGCGCGTTGCGTTCTGTAAATTAATTTAAAGTCAGGAAGTCGAATCATTCCTCTGGATCTCCTATGTGAGTGGAAAATCTTTTCAATTGACCTCTCACTTGCTGTTGAGCTCTGAAATAGCAGAGCTGTGCTGGTCCAAACCTCCACTCTACTCAAAGACTTGGTCCCGCCGGTCCAATTATCTCACAAATGCTACAGCCGGGGTCGTCTCCTGGTTCCGAGTTCTTCATGACATCATTCACTTATGAATGAAAATTTTCTTTTCAAGTATTAGTTTTCCTCCCACCTGTTTGTTTAATTGAAAATAATGTTACTGTGTCGCAACAGGATTTCCAAGCACCCCCCCCCCCCCCCCACACACACACACACATACACTAAATGTTGGGTCTGATTTAGGTGTTAAT